CCGTCTTAAAATATCTTTCCGCACTTCCCTTGCTGATATAGCGACCGCTTTAGCGTCCTTACCATATACCTAATTTTTATCTCGCAAATACTGTGCCTAGTTTACAATTTGAACGGTTTTTGATACTTGCAGAGAGTTAAATGTCGGTTCAACCACAGGAGTGTTACAAAATGCTTCTGCCCAAAAAATTTCCATGGAGATAACGACGATCGTCGTTACAGTACAACCGTGTGAGCTACGATAACGATTCTACTAATGCCATAATTGGATTACATTTTGCAACGAGAAACTACTAATTCTGACTTATTAATGTAGGCACCTATCTGCGCAGGTAAACTAGCATGGCACTTACGTTCGTTTTAAAATGAGCGGGAAAGAGTAGCTCCTAATCGAAACATGTAGTCCAATTGGACTACATTTTGCATTTAGGAACTAAAAACTCTGGCTCATCCATTAAAGTACTTATGTGCATAGAGAGGCTACTGATACTTTCGTGGTTTCTAAAGTGAGCCAGAGATTTTAGCTCCTAATGCAGTCCAATTAACATTAGTATGATATGATATGCAGCACATGCGATAAATATTTGCAGAGGCAATGGATTGCCAGACAAGGTGAGAATGTTAGCACCATGATACCTATGATTCTGCTTATCAGAATAGACAGAACACAATCTGTACATACACCGAAAATTACTGAAAGTATGAAAAGTCGAGTTTTTGACATAATCCACCGCGATAGTGACACCCTTGGTTTCTTCCACCTTACTTTAATCAGTCGGTGTAACGCCCATTTGCACTGGTCGCTCAACGTGAAACTCGGATGATAGGAAGGTGGAAGAAACCAAGGGTGTTATCAGCGCGGTGGATGACGTCACAAACCCGATCTATGAAAAGGTCATATCTCGGTTAATATTGATGAAAGTAAGAAGTTGCTGTTTGGACGGATTTTGTTATTTTTAGATAATCCACAAGAATCAAGCATCAAAATACGATTCTATGACCAGCGCAACTGACCCATTCCCATTCGTTTTAACGGCTCTCGGCCAACTACCACACGCCCTCTCTTCCACCCGTTTCTCCTTCCTATCAGCGGAAATAGGTCCAAATTATTCAGCCTAAATCAATAACCTCGTCAATGCGAAGGAGGCTTAATTTGAAGAGGTTTGGCAGCGTTGGGATTAAAGGCGGGTTCCATTACCTGCATATGCCGCGGTCGGTCGACACTTGAGCCGTGCCCGCATACTCGCCCGTAAACACCGCTCAGCGGCGATGCATTTGTCGAACGGCAAAAGTTTCGGAACTTTTAAGCGCATTATGCCCCATTCTATCCGGACGCCAGAACAATTACCGGTGATTTCCTCTAACTCTCGTTTAATTACACTTTTTCTTCCCGCGCGCGAGCCCGAGCTAGCGCCGCGCTCCTGAGTGGTTTGCCAAAGTATTCCTCAGCCCGGATTAGCAACTTTCGCCATTGTTCCGCCCATGACGTCATTCAAAACCCCTGTTTTCATTTTAGATTTGATTGCGCGACTAGCCGTGGAATACGCCACCGGTCAAGGTGACGTCCTGAGTTGCGCACTTGAAATGAATAAAAGTGAAACATTGGAAATTTCCGTGTAATAACTCATGAAATTTCACAAGGCTGTGAAATATTTCATATTTTTCAGGGGTTAGGGTATGCAACCCACGCTCTAATACACACAAATTGAAGATAATCGCAATGTTTACATTTTGTGAAACATGAAAAGGAACCGGTATTTTTCAACATTTTTCATACATTTCTGAAATTTCATGAAATATTTCACGTGAAATTTCAAAATTTTATTTTTCATGAAAAATTGCAACCCTGGCGGCGTTCATACGAGCCTGAAGCTCACCGGCCATGCATCGTCATTTGCCGCCCAAAGTATCACAAGCGCCATGCGACGTTTCATATTTTCCGCCACCATTTTATTTTTTTACAGAGAAATTGTTCAACGAAGCTGTTTGAGAATTTCACTGAATTTTCTTTGTGCTTCCGCTAAAATTCAGTGAAATTTGCAAACAGATTCGTTGAACAATTTGTCTGTAAAATAATAAAATGGCGGCGGAAATTTTGTCGCATGGCGCTTGTGATACTTTGACCGGGAGGTGACGACATACTAACTTGCTACATTTTAAGCGTGCCAGTAGGGCTCGCTTTTTGAAATCACTCGGATGTACCATAGTACAGCACACCGATCAACCAATGCTATTCAACGGGCCGTCCAAATATTTTTTTCCTCGGACCCGTTTTCTTATCTTTGAACCATTATACTGTCAAGCCCTGATGGTCTCTTACCAAAAAACCGAATGAACTGCTAATTGGAAACCCTTGAGAACATTTTCCTGTCAAAACCGTATTATTTCATTTGACAAAAACCTCATAGAAGCTTTCTTACGCTCGGAGGACTCAACTCTAGAACCTTCTTTCCCGCCAAAACTGTTTAGCCAATGAGCGTCTTGCACTGCAAGTGCAATCTGTGATGAGCCTCGTGACTCTTTATACCATGTACTAACCGTGGCCGCTGCAGAAATCCACTCAAACCACTGCAGTTATCTCCCGATATAGCTTTGGGTGTCAGGTTTCGAGCAAGGCAATAAAAGACGGCGAGGAGAGGGTCGCCTCGTCGAACCTANCTTGAGCCGTGCCCGCATACTCGCCCGTAAACACCGCTCAGCGGCGATGCATTTGTCGAACGGCAAAAGTTTCGGAACTTTTAAGCGCATTATGCCCCATTCTATCCGGACGCCAGAACAATTACCGGTGATTTCCTCTAACTCTCGTTTAATTACACTTTTTCTTCCCGCGCGCGAGCCCGAGCTAGCGCCGCGCTCCTGAGTGCTTTGCCAAAGTATTCCTCAGCCCGGATTAGCAACTTTCGCCATTGTTCCGCCCATGACGTCATTCAAAACCCCTGTTTTCATTTTAGATTTGATTGCGCCACTAGCCGTGGAATACGCCACCGGTCAAGGTGACGTCCTGAGTTGCGCACTTGAAATGAATAAAAGTGAAAAATTGGAAATTTCCGTGTAATAACTCATGAAATTTCACAAGGCTGTGAAATATTTCATATTTTTCAGGGGTTAGGGTATGCAACCCACGCTCTAATACACACAAATTGAAGATAATCGCATAATTTTTACATTTTGTGAAACATGAAAAGGAACCGGTATTTTTCAACATTTTTCATACATTTCTGAAATTTCATGAAATATTTCACGTGAAATTTCAAAATGTCATTTTTCATGAAAAATTGCAACCCTGGCGGCGTTCATACGAGTCTGATGCTCACTGGACATATATCGTCATTTTTCGTCCAATTTATCACAAGCGCCATGCGACGTTTCATATTTTCCGCCACCATTTTAATTTTTTACAGAGAAATTGTTCAACGAAGCTGTTTGAGAATTTCACTGAACTTTCTTTGTGCTGCCGCTAAAAGTCAGAGCAATGCAAACAGAGTCGTTGATCAATTTGTCTGTAAAATAATAAAATGGCGGCGGAAATTTTTAAATGTCGCATGGCGCTTGAGATACTTTGACTGGTAGGTGACGACATACTAACTTCCTACATTTTTTTATGAAAAAGTGCACGAAAATCATTTTCAGTACACACGAAGAAAAGGGGGTTATCCCCTAAAATGGAAAATTTGCACGCAAATTTTTTATTGCTTTATCTGAGAGCCCTCACCTCCTAACCTCTTTCTTTCTTTCTGTGCATTAAGGTGCTCAGCTCAGCTTAGTAATGCATTTTCTGGGTATTGTCTATTAATTTCCAAGTGTAAATATCAAATGGATTATTTTGAAAAAATTGCATTGAATTTTTCTCTTTTTAAAGAGAGTCACATTTTTCTCTTTTTAAAGAGAGTCACATGTTTCTCTTTTTAAAGAGAGTCACATTTTTCTCTTTTTAAAGAGAGTCACATTTTTCTCTAATGAAATTCAAAAGTTATGCTTAAAGTTATTACATACGAATGCTAGGACTTAGTGGGTTTTTGGACTACCGCTCTCTTTTTGTGCGGTAGTATCTTGATTTATTTTGCGAGGAAAACTCCGTACTCTGAAAAGATACTTTCCATTCTTTATGTGTTGGAGCGCCCTCAATTTCGTATGACACTGTGCAACACCTCTGTAGTGAAATAGTTGCTGGAGGCGCCGCGTCGTAGCAAGCTGTGGCGCGGTGAGCGACCAGCGCGACGCGCGCATTGGCGCCTACAAACCTAAGGGGATACTTCAAGCATTGTGCAATGCGTGAAGTATCCACTTAGGTTTGTAGGCGCCAGTGCGCGTTTAGTGCCGGCAGCACACCACTCCGCTCTGCATTAGGCTCTATGTTTGCAAACCCATTTTAGTCTCTAGATCTACCTTTGAGGAATGAGCGTGTCGAAAATCAACTTCTGAAATCTGAAGATAAAATCAAACAATGCAAATGCAAGCCAGAATACTATGTAATTTGTACCGTTTTCAATTCATCATAAATATCGATACACTGCAAAAACGTATTCAATTCGCATTTCAATACCCTTTCTTTCTTTCCAACGTTCCTTTTTTTCTCCTGGTTTATTTATTTATTTATGATCCGTTAGGATCCTACAACCATCTTAATCGACTATATTTGGACGGATTCAACTAAAATCACCTTTTTCAAACAACGAAAAAAAATTGTCTCAACATATCTCTCAGATTATGAAGAATATACCTCCAAAATTGCAAGTAAAAATGATGCTTAGTTTTATACGACCAGTTAGGCAACGTCTGATGCTTATTTTCTAAATAATCAAATCCAATGCTTTTCATTTTGCTTTGGCATTGGTTATCTTTTCTTTTGTGGGTTCGTTTCGTTGAAATTTTGGGTTATTTTGTGCGTAAATTTTAAATTTAAAACATCTAAAAATAAACGTGAACACGAATATTTATTTTTGAAGGGCTATGTAATGAAAATATATCTAAAAATAATACAAAATAAAAAATACGAATGGATCACATTTTAAATTCATTATTATAAAAGAGGAAACGTTTATTCGTGTCACTCGTCTGAAAAAGTAACAAAATAATGAAGAAATTTCTATTCAATTAAAATCCCTGAACAATATGTTTCTGTTTTTCTTCCTCTATATATTTTCTTCCCCCAAAATTGTCTATGAAATTTATCCCTCGTGGGCGGCGTGGTCAACATGATCCCCATGTTTCTCGTGGTCCGGGTGGTCCTCATGGTGGTCCTTGTCGTCCACATGGTCCCCGTGCTTGGCTCCGTCTTCGTGAGCAAAGATCTGGAACAAAAAAGTTCTCTTTTACCAAAAAAATCGAATTGAACGTACGCCACGGATCGGAATACATTTCGCAGTAAGTAACCATGAGAAAAAACACTAAGAAATGGCCCGAACTCCAAGTAACAAGGTGCTGGGTCCACACCATTTCGCGGGGAAAACAGAGCCAAATAGTTTCAAAAATCTCAATTAGAGTCAGACATTTGTTGAGCTCTATAATGAGTACCAGTACAAGACTAATTGTAAGAGGGGCAGAGTGTTCAGCCGAGGCAGCTTACATTGGGATCATAATTTGAGGTCACGCCGAGAGATCTAACATGTTTTGGGTCATTTTAGACCTCATAAGTAGATCACACTCATCATTGAACCCAACCTAGCATCCCGCAAAATCCAAGATGCGGGATGTATAGCTACATGGACACAAGATATAGGCACATAGTTCCGTTTGAAAGAGTGTAAAACTCCTTTTCCATTTTTCCAAATGGAATCATGCCCACTTTTACATTGCTTCCTATGCAGCTTTCTAAGAGTATCTCTCCTACTCGCACATTGTTCCGTTTAGCAGAAATATATCCAATTTGTAGCTCAAACATTAAAAAAACTTACAGCCGTCATGAGGACAAAGCAAAGAGCGATGTGGAGGAGAACTTTGAAGATGTGCATGATGCTAGGAATTCTGAGCCACTGAGAAGAACGAGTGAGTTTAAGTGCGCAATTAAGTTGTCTGCGAAATTAGTCGCACGTTACCGCCTTTTATGCTCCTCCAGTGGCGTGGCGTGAATTGCGATATATCGATTGTTATGCCATTCAAACCTGTGGAAAAGGATCGATAAATAGGGAGTTCGCAGCGAACACCTTAATAATAGATTTTTACCATAGGTTTAAATAGCATAACAATCGATACATCGCAATTAACTTCACGCCACTGTGCTATTCGGGAGTCTCGCGCTGAAAATATGCGTGTTTTGTCGTTTAATTGCCGAAATTGGACGTATTGCTGCCAAACGGAACTATGTGCATTGAGACATGAGCCCTGAGACCCATAACAATACATGCATAACAGGGCTTACGTCATAATGCACATAGTTCCGTTTGGTAGAAATTCTTTCAATTAATCCTAAGAGACTGTCTGCCGAGTTTTCGGCGAGGAGTGCGCGCAAAATCGTTTAAAACAGAATTGATCTGAACATGCTTCAATGTTGCCACTTTTCTTGGAGGACTGTTCCAGTTTTACACTGGTTATATTTCTCTCGGCAAACTCATAAAAAGAAAAGTAAATATTCAAAACATCGTAAGAACCCGCCAGGTTTGCCAAGTGATCAGCGCGTCTGACTCTGGGTCAATAGGTCCCGGGTTCGAATCCCGGTAGTGGCGTCAAATCACCGAAAGGAAGAGTAGGTCTGCAGAAACACATTCTACTTGGCCTTAATCCCTGAAAATTTTAAAATCCTGGAGCATGGATATGCCGATCCTTCGTTGTTTACATACAATAAAATACCGTCTAAAGTTGGCTGAAGGTGCTAGAGACGATGTCAATAAACCAGCCAAAAAAAAAAAAAAAACTTAGTAAGCGCTATCAAATGTTGCGAAAATTGTGCAGGTTGCTCTTCACTGTAAAATAACCCAAATGTCTCCTCTTCATGAACTTTTTACACTGGCATTTTCTCTATGAGCAGTCATGGTCTATGAGAAGTCACGGAAATTCATGGAATTTGGACACCCAGGATTCGGAGAAAAGCAATATTCTTGGGCTTTTTTTAAAAAAACCAAGTAACGTAGACTCTTGGTATTCATTGCACATAAACTAGAAAGCCCCAGAATGAGAAGGAACTTTAAATCATAATTATTGACGGAGAAGTAAACTTTTTACACGCTTTGGAAAATCTCAGAAGTTCGCGGTAGTCACTTTTCGGTAAGGAACTAAGGGACTCGGTTATTGTATCGAGTGGGGGGTCGAAACGATTGCAAAGGCGGCATAATACGTATACGCGCCAAAACGTCAGAAATAAGTCAGGGAAATGACATCGGAGACAGAAAATCAAGAGATAGCAGCAGCTTTCTAACGGCAGGAGGAATTATTGTTCTTAATCGCAATTTCTCAAAATTTAGGCAACATTGTAGAGTATGAGTTGCACCCCGCCAATTTTTCCGTGTGTATCAAGTTACGATCGTTTGAATAACGTTTTTGTTTGGTTTGGGTCGTATGCATGAAATGATCCTGTGAATAAAAGGATTCATGCAAATTAGTCCTCAATTCTAATTTGCTTTGTTTCTGCAGTTCATTTTTCTAGTTTCGAGTGCGCGGTGTTTTATGCGTTTCCGGACAAAAAATATATCATGTCCGTTTTAATGTGCCGGATTTGCGTATGGGCTCCATGACACTAGGTGAAAATAGGAGTTTCTTCACTATTTCCATGCCATACGATGACTTGGAAATTTCTAGCAATTTTAAAAAGCTTAGTGATGAATTATCGTTCCCCGTCTCGCTAATTTAATAATTCTGTTTGTGGAACAACACTCTCAAGTTATAGCCATTGTACTGCCGGACTACGGAAGAACTGTGTATGATAATTCGAATCTTGCGAAATGTCCCTCAGTCGAATATCAAGTTTTTAGAAAATTTATGAAAATGTTTATGTTCAATTTCCAAGGATATTTGAATGGAATACAATTGTGATTGGAAGAAAATTGTGAAATTCCCCAAGAAATGTACTTTTCAGCGGTAAAAATTTCAATGCGACAACCTAACGTTGCAGTATTTACTCTGTAAGAGGCGATAGGTATCTTTTTTTTGCGTATATTTAATTATCTTTTCTCCGAACCCTCTTTCCTGAATTGCGAGCTTTTAACTTGCATGGTTCCACTTCAATTTGAAATGTTTAGACGTTTTTTGCCCTAAAACAGTTTTAGAACACGTCAACTCATTCCAATATTATTCAGTAGCAGCTAGCCGAGAACAACTAAAACCAGTATACTTTGTATATACTTTGTAAACGCGTAACGAAAAAATATTCGTCTCGCAAGAAAATGATAATTGAACAGGTTATTAGAGAGTTGTCTCAAAATCCTCAGAATTTGCGTCTTCAACGGAATAATACAAGGGGAATAATACAACATGGAAATACTGCAAAGTAAAGGAAGCTCGGTGATGACGGCGCAGAGATACAACTATTCGTGCTTGGTGGATGTCCGTGTTGCATTCCCAAAATTGAAGGCGCTTTGACGTGAGGCGTGTACTCGAGATGCTTGGCTCAGTGCTGCCAATGCGATATCGTTCATATTCGGAAGAAAAGTTAAAAAACGAGGCCTGGTCACGTTTCTCCTATGTTTGGTTGTGTTGGTACTCATTTTTTTCAATCTGATGCTCTGATTTTTCTTTAAAGAGTGTATCTGCACTCTTGTGTATTGGGCCCAGAAGTAAAGGCTTGTCCGGTCCATCCGATTGCCTCTCACGTAAATTTCTCGTAGTAGGAGAACAGTCATTTTTCGCTTGTTGACAGTGGCGAGGATTGTAATAAATGAAATATCGGAAGTTGGATTCCTGTCGCGTGGGCAGGAACTGGGCGAGCGCGACAGTAGAGTCTTGAACGTACTATCGGGGAAATTGCACTCGACTGCGGATTCATTTTGCGGGCGCCACGCTCCGGCTCCGGCGGGAGCAAGACCTAGTCAAGAGGGGTCGATGAAAAATGCTCGAGACGCCGCCACCGCACAGTGGATCAACTCATTCACAGAGCTCGCACATGCAATTCTTAACCCAAACTGCAAATTCTGTTGTTCAATATAAATTTAAAGGGGCGTATTTAAAAGAAAATTGCGCGAGGTAACCACTTCTAGTACCTGAAAGTCTCAAATAAATGGAGTTATAAGCTTTTGGAGTTTCCAAATTTCATTTCCAACCTCTGTGATTGACTGGATCCCCTGTGCGGCGGCGGTTCGGCGGACGTGAGGAATCCCCGAGCGCAATCCCTTAACGTCTGATGAAAAATTAATCCGAAACAATTCGTCGAGCTCTGGAAATCCGAGCCAGTGGCCAATCACGCGCGCATCTCAACGAAATTGCAGCGATGAGCACGAGCAATGAACGCGTCAGCGGCCAAGACCTAAAGATGGAGACCTAGTATCCGGAAGCACGGCTGAGAAATGAAGCCACATCACGCGTGTAAAAGTGTGTTGGTGAGCTATTTTTTACGCGTAAGCGCGTTCGAGCGGTTAAAAGTCGTGGTGGAATCTATACAGGGTGATCCAATGAGAAACGGCCAGACTGGAGGAGCGCGTTCTATGGGTCAAAATAAGACTATTTTGTTGCATAAAGTTTTTTTTCCAAAAGTGCTTCTAGTCGTTTGTATCGTTTTTCCTGAATTTTGGCAACGGTTGTGAACCAAATCTTATGAAAATTTGTATTTTCCTGTACCAAATTCCTCTATAAAAGATTCCTTTATAAGGAGAAAAGTNCGTGATGGAAAAAATGTACTTTACGTTCAAAATTTGAAATTTTGAATTTTAAAGTTTTCGCGGTTTTTTGGAAGAATGCAGTGGTTGGAGCTTCCTAGGCATATTACTCGATATCAGCTGATAGCAAACAAAGGTTACCAAGGAAACCGTAAACGTTTAACAACTATCGTGGCCATCGGGGCGATTATTGAAATGACATCGACTCTATGTCGCCGCTTACGACAGGACATAGCCCTATCTTATCCGTGTAATATATCGCAATTCGATATTGTTTTGATTTTTAAATGGAGCAATTTATTCATAAAGTTCCGATTAGTTTTGGCGAACGGGCCCCTTAACCTACGTCACTAGGCTCATGGGAATTTTTTTAACTTGTCCTGGACGGACTCGTCTGTAGCGCCTCGTTCTTCGTTGTGTGTTTGATTTCGTGAAGAAGTTTCTATGGCAATTTGCTTTGACTACAACTACCGTCGCCAGAGCCGCTTTACGACGCGAATGCGTTGGAGCTTACTGCTTGTTTTTGCTTGTGTTGGCACTCATTTTTTTTTCAATCATATGCCTAATCTTTTTTAATTAAGGGTGTATCTGCACTCTTGTGTATTGGCCCCAGAAGTATAGGCTTGTCCGGTCCATCCGATTGCTTCTCACGTAAATTTCTCGTAGTAGCAGAGGAGTCAGTTTTTGCTTGTTGACAGTGGCGAGGATTGTATTAAATGAAATATCGGAAGTTGGATTCCTGTCGCGTGGGCAGAAACTGGGCGAGCGGGACAGTAGAGTCTTGAACGTACTATGTGGGAAATTGCACTCGACTGCGGATTCATTTTGCGGGCGCCACGCTCCGGCGGGAGCAAGACCCAGTCAAGAGGGGTCGATGAAAAATGCTCGAGACGCCGCGCCGCCACCGCACAGTGGATCAACTCATTCACAGAGCTCGCACATGCAATTCTTAACCAAAACTGCAAATTCTGTTGTTCAATATAAATTTAAAGGGGCGTATTTAAAAGAAAATTGCGCGAGGTAACCACTTCTAGTACCTGAAAGTCTCAAATAAATGGAGTTATAAGCTTTTGGAGTTTCCAAATTTCATTTCCAACCTCTGTGATTGACTGGATCCCCTGTGCGGCGGCGGTTGCGGCGGACGTGAAGAATCCCCGAGCGCAATCCCTTAACGTCTGATGAAAAATTAATCCGAAACAATTCGTCGAGCTCTGGAAATCCGAGCCAGTGGCCAATCACGCGCGCATCTCAACGAAATTGCAGTGATGAGCACGAGCAATG